GAAACCGTCGTGGTTAATTCTAGTGGAATTTGTCACGATGGGTTAACTGACATGCCTTTTCATCCTCACCTGTCATCGCTCACTGGTGCCCCGCCAGCATATACCGATAGCGCAGGCAAGGTTACCATTTCATCATCACCTATTAAAAAAAGGCCTGAGGTTGCCAACCCGCCTACCTAGTGTGACAACTACAGGCATAACCTTCCAATAGGGGAAGGCCTATGGTTAGCAGTGATACAGTACCGTGTCCTTTTGCATAAAATCTGTGCTTTACATGAATTGTGTTGTTAACTGGTGCAGTCACGTGGCGCGACGCTACTCAATACATCCGCCGCGATCGACCGACATTTCGTTTAACTATTTACGATCGATCTTCACGGGCGTTGCGGGCGTTTTATTGAAACGCCGACGAGGCTGCCAGTAATCGAATGTTTTGTCATTAACCTGTCGTGCTCTTAAACGCGGTGTCGTATCGGTGCTGCCGGCCTCTTTGATACGGTTTTTATGTTTGCGCTATATTACTTTTTTATACATTTAATGTCGTGGATTAGACAGTGGGTTGGATATTTTAAAATTCGAAATCATTAGTGTCATAATTTTATTTTTAGCCATTCATTCCATTGCTGGAATGAATGGCTAAAAATAAAATTTGAAATGTAAAGGCGAAACATGAAATAGCAAAATTATTTGACTTATGATGCTCAAATAGGGCAGACTTTGTACAAAAGTCGATTGCTTGGTACCTCTGTCCCATTCGTGTTTCAACCGTGAAGCAGTTGTGTTTGCATGGCTGTGTTTCGGTTTGAAGGGTGGGATATTGCGTGAATTTACTGGGTACAGGGGAATAACACCTGAGTCCTCAGGAATGGCAACGCATGGGGGGTATCATGAGCGAAACAGTATACTCTGTTATGTCCATGCTACTGCTCATGTCTATAGGCGACGGTTACCACTTTCCATCAGGTGGGCCGTCAGGTTGTTTGCCATTCTAAGTTGTATAAAAAAAAAGACCACACAAGAAAAACTATGGATGGTATAATAATGGTAACTAGGATGGATATATACTATTATTGCTAAAAGCAATTTGTTCCAGACAATTTAGATAGAGAGGAGTAATTATGAACAATTTGGACGGAGGCAAGATCAAACACAATCTTTAAACTAGACTAGTCGAATGTCATCCTAAGACAACAGTAAGCGTCAATCGTAGCTCCGAGTAGTTGCCGCGCCCCCTAGAGCTCGGTATAACAGTCACAATATTGACCCATATCTCGATTGTTTTGGTTTGCTTATGTATGTCGCACCCTCGGCAAACAAACGTAGGCGATCTCCGAACTGCCACGTGTTTAAAATTCATAGCTAATGGTTGTTTAATTTGGAATTACGTACAAACAAAACAATTTATGAACGAATATAGTAGAGCGGCTTTTTGAGAGACAAGACTGTTTTGTAATTTATGTTATAGCAGATGACTAGTTAGAAAACAAAGTGATCAAATAAAATAAATTTAAATGAAAAGAAACGAAATTAAATAAAATGAAATGAAAAGAAATGAAACGGAATAAAAAGAAACGGAAAGAAATGAAACAAAATAAAACAAAATGAAATGAAACGGAACAAAATGAAACGAAATAAAAGTAAATGAAACGAAATTAAACTAAATTAAATGAGATTTATTTGCGAGATAAAGCCACGTCGCGAATTGTCTTAATAGCTAGAGGGGAAGGGATTGTTAGTAACGAGGACTAGTAGCCCTAATGCTTGCAGCTTCTCAGGTCGCCTATGAGTGCTTTAGGTCGACCTCTAAGTGGTTCTCTTTAAGAACAAACGTAGTTTGCTTTTGCTGAATACTTCATGATGATGGATGGAGGATACCAACGGAAGACTATCGCCTTTCACTCCTCAATGATGTCGCACTAGGGTATATGACAGCGTTACTTAATTTTACAACTGGGTATGCTGTATTAGTGAAGTCAAAACATGGCTGTTCTAACAAACCTAAAAATACAAGGCAGTGGTCAGTCGCCTACGCGCTGTCCGGGATGTTTGTTTGATGTGTACTCACTCTTCAGTTGGGTCTTTGTAATAACATTCGTAGTGGACTGGTCAGCTCGTACGACAGTTGGCGGGAAATTTTGGTGGTTCTTCAACGCACGTACATTCAGTGACGTGGTTGCGTTTTTTTAAATTGAGTTTTTAACAATGTAATGTATTTATTAATGGACGTTAATCACTACTTTAGAAATATTATTAATTTTTAATATATTTTTATTGCTGTTATTTAAAATGGTGTCAGAGAGTTTTTGTACACCTGTAATAAAATCTTCTACAAAAGTTGTGTTTGGGATAGAGAAGGATTTAGAATAGACTGTTTTTTATCTCAAACAATCAATATCTCCCGGTCATTAGAAAGAAGTTGTGAGCACATCTATTGTAACATAATTAAGGTTTTGTTTCATGAACAAAAAACTTATAAGATTAAGTATAAAAACCAAAAATATTCATAGAGGATAAAAATTTTTAAATTGCTTTTTTTTTATAATATATTATGATTTTCACTATTATATAGTATCTACCAATATGTTTATGGTATCTCTATACAGTATAAAACAAAGCCGCTTCCCGCCGTCTGTACGCTTAGAACTTTTATACTACGCAATGGATTTCAATGTGGTTTCCACCAATAGATAGAGTGATCCAAGAGGAAGGTTTATACGTATAGTTTTTTTTTTATTTGTTTTGTATTAATTTGTTAAAATATGACGATAATTGTTCAAATTATCGGATGAAATCATGCCAACTGACAGGTTTCATTGAAAATATTGCCGTTTGAGAAAAAAAAATGGTTAGGATTATTTATCTTTTATAGGTCTATAAAAAAGTCTGCCACGACATATATCTTTTAAGTCTAAGTTTAAGTTTAAGTTTATATCTTTTAAGGATAGCAAAAAATGTAAGCATATCTGTATATACCTGTGCGAAGCCGGGGCGGGTGGCTAGTGTTTAAATATAAGCACAGGTCACAGGCAAACAGCGCACGTACAGCGAGGAAGTGTCGAAGTGTCGGAGCCGGAGCGTGCCGTAAATTGCACTATCCTCGCATCTCATGATATCCTGGTACACGCGGGCACCAGTCACGGTATCGCTGCATCGATATATCGATACTTTTGTATCGTAACGATATATCTCGTTCGATGGCGTACAAGTGGTGGCGTGAGAGATTTGATTTTAATTTCTATAGTGGTTTTACTCGTACGTTGTTGGACTACATGTTTATTTCGGTTTCACCCGTCCTGAATTCGTAATCTTAAATTTTTTTATTGAACTTGAAACCGCGACTACTGGTCATAATCCATCTGATAATGCAAATCTTTAACATATACGTATATACATATTTGTCACGTCTGTGTCCCATTCAAGTAGGCAGAAACAGTGAAACGCCAAATGCTTCAATTCAAACAAACCTCTTTCGCTCCTTCCACATTCATCAATCTTTTCATACACGCTCGCCGTTTACGGGTACTTTTAATTTGGTCTCTCTACAGCACGGTCGACATACTTACGTCTAGCTTCTTCCGACATCTCCATTCATTCTTGTTCAATAAATCTCTTTCGTAATTCTTCTTTTATCTATCCTCTCTAAATGGCTAAACCAATGCAACATTCCCTTTTCGATTTCTGTCACTACATCGTCTTTCAGTGCACACTTCTCTCTAATCACATTGTTTCTTACTCGATCTTTTAATACCACACATACATCTCAGAGCTATCATCTCTATAGTATCTTTTATTAACACAAATAGCATCATCATAATTTTACCAGAGGGAGACTTTGTACAAAAGTTGATTGCTTGGGTACCTCTGTCCCATTCGTGTTTCAACCGTAAAGCAGTTGTGTTTGTATGGCTGTGTTTCGGTTTGAAGGTTGGGATATGGCGTGAATTTAGAGGGTACAGAGGAATAACACCTGAGTCCTCAGGAAAGGCAATGCATGGGTAGTATCATGTGCGAAACAGTATACTCTGTTATGTCCATGGTACTGCTCATGTGTATAGACGACAGTTACCACTTTGCATCAGGTGGGCCGTCAGCTTGTTTGCCATTCTAAGTTGTATAAAAAAATCATAAAATATGGATATTCAACTGTCTATATACCAAATCACTTTATAACATCAATTTAGAGGATTGTTTTGTCAAGTTACTGGATTTATATTACTATAATTGACAATCTTAGTACGACAACATTAACAGAGACGTACTCAACTGCGCGTCATAAATAGTTATAATAAAGTAACTATTAAAGTCGATCTACTGTAAAGCATTCTAGTGGTACAGTATGCGCCGGCGCAGCACCGCATAATGTGCACGATAACCGCACGCTATTACAAGTATACACCAACTTTAAAGTGCAGTTCCGAGAGTGCGGTCGGGGTTGTTTAGTCGCGACACAGCGCTGCCACAATTAGTGGTCACCGTAATGAATTCCGAGCTCGCTTCGTCTGTAAAATGTAGTTTTTTGGCTCAATTCATATGATTGGAAAGGGCTTGTTGTGGTTATGACTCGATTTAACTGTTTTTAGTATTCTTTTTTTATCAACACATAAATAGTTTCGAAAAACGGCGCTGCGGAGAATGATTCTTGCTCTGTGTAGTGCACTGACGAGATTTTTTTAAACAACTTTGAATGGCAAACAAGCTGACGGCCCACTTGATGGAAAATGGTAACCGTCGCCTATAGACATGAGCAGTACCATGGATATAACAGAGTATACTCTTTAGCCCATGATACCCCCCATGCGTTATACTTTGCCATTCCTGAGGACTCAGGTGTTATTTCTCTGTACCCAGTAAATTTACGCCATATCCCACCCTTCAAACCGAAACACAGCCATGCAAACGCAACTGCTTTAAATACGAATAGGACAGAGGTACTCAAGCAAACGACTTTTGTACAAAGTCTCCCTCTGTTAAAGTTTATATATTGTTAATTAATTTACAGTTACTAATTCAGTCGTGGTAACTGTACAATGGAGCCCTTATCAATGCAGCAGCGTGGCGCTCGTCTAGTGATGTAGTCGACACCTCGTAAATACGATCTCGTGCAACTTAGCGCATGCGCACAACAACACCAACAACACCGGGGCACCAATATCAGCATAGCATACGTAGGTACGTTTCACACGAATAGTACGCTCTTCAGAAATATTTATTTTGACTTTCAAAAGAAGCAGATTTAAATTTTCTTTATAATAAGAAAATACATAACGAGGAATAACTGTATAGGACAGATAAAAGAAACATTAGGTGTCATGTCGTATAGGGAGGTCAAGGATATGGCCTGGGATAGAGCTGGCTGGAGGAAGATGCATGAATTAGTTGCACCGACAAGAGGGAACTCTTAAATGAAAAGAAGAAAACAAAATTGGTTGTCAATTTTGAATTGAAGTAGGTCTTATATTAAATTTGTGAATAAAAAATATAACTTCAAGTTGTAATGTAAGAACAACCGGATTAACTTACGTGTATGTACATCAATCGAAATGCTTGTTTAGTTTCGGCACAATCCGGGATCCTTTGTCATGAACAGCCGTGAAGCGTGCTCGAGCCTTAAAATAAAACTCTTGCATTAAAAGATAATGTCTATTTATTTAATTTTAAACAATACAACTTTCGTCCCACTGAAGTCGCCTCTCTATGCTAGATAAAAGAATGCTTATTGTGCCAAAAAATCTATTTATAAACGCGATTTACATAAAATTTGGTGGATAAATAATGCGATTTTGAAAGATTTTACGTGGAAGAAATAATATTCCTTCTATCCAAAGGTTGTGTGGAAGAGATTGCTTAGCAATAAGACCGCCTTTTGTACTACACTATACGTATTGAAAATTGTTCAACAAATCCTGTTATGTTGATGCAATATAGTGTTAAATATATAAATAAATAAAATAAATATAATTCTATTATCTTATTCATCGCATAAAATTACTTCGATCGCGTGAATCTTTATTTAAACTATCCTTTATTTTAAGGTAGGATATGACCTATGTGTATACCTAATTTAAATCAAATTTATTCAGTAGTTTTTAATTGAAATATTAACACACAGCCATCTATCCTCATAAATTTTCGCATTGTAGTAGAATTTATAGGAGCTCGACTAAAATAAAAACCCAATCGCTTTAGTTTTTTCCCATTTTTTTGGAATTCACAGATAGATAGATAGATAGATAAATAATTTATTTGCATTACTTACATCACACAAACAGCAAAAGACACAAATGCAATGTGAAAAAAGATAAAAAAAAGATACATATACAAAAAAATAAAAAAAAAGAAACAAAAACAAAATCAGAATGTATAAAATTAGTAACAATTTTTTTTTCTTCATACGTGCACCACAGTAATACAAAACGGCCACAACTCAGCTTTTTGTTTTGCCCAAAAAAGAGCAAAACACTGATATTCTGTTGTGGCCAAAAGTAAGCCGCGAAATACCACTGAAAAAAAAAATAATAAAAAAAAAATACAGTGTGTTTTTCCTTTTATTCTGGTTTTAACAGTAAATAGTAAAGCGATGTTCTGATATTGTTGAGTGTCGTGTGTACAGCGCCTAACAGCGTGATGTGGTGCGGTCGTGATGGCTCAGAATGATGGGGGTTGGCCTGGGATCAAACCAACAACGCCTCACCTCGTCTCGCTTCGCCTCGCCTCCACCGGTACCCGACGCCTTATCTGCCATATTTACGATAGTTGACTTCAGTTATCTGTATGCAGATTATACGGAAATTAACTTGGTAGGGAAATATATTTTATAAGAATCCAGGCTTAATTTTTAATCGATTAGTCAAAAATATATTAATCATTTTGTCACAAGAGACTTGCTGAATAATTAACTTAAAGTTTGGCATATACCCAATTGTAGTACGTGGTCCTTCGAGCCGGATATAAATGACTATTGTCACAACTGTTTTAATGCAGTAACAAATGCAAGTGTAGTACGTAGTTTTTCTTTGTTTTAGTATGTTCTCTTCCATCTAGTAATAGTAATGCAACTTGTAATCAGTTTACTACTTAATTATCTAGATAGATGTTGTACAATAGCTATGGTCCTTCGAGCCGGATATAAATGATTTGTCACAACTCTTTTAATGTATTATTACTGGTTATAGAGACTTAATTCTTCAGTTCTGTGGAACAGCAACGTATGAGATGTAGGTACTGTGCGTGTCATATAGAGATATCCATGGTGTGATGGTTTTCACTTTCCATCACTTGGGTTATCATATTACAAAATCATATTTTATAGAAAAGATAATACATTACTTAATTACAGTCTTCATTAATTAGCCTCTGGGCAAACAGAAACATAATTATGCGATGTGAATTATTGAAAGTAAGTCTCGGAAAATATATAAATATAATAAATGTATAAATATGAGACATGGAATATAATTTTTTATTAATGTATAAACCATTTGTTCTGTCGGGACGGATAGATGTCATAGAGAACTACAATAGATGTATTAATATTAATCTATCGATAACATTTGCCGGCAAGTATGAGTGATTACATCAGTCATGGAGTTTATCTGTTTGTCCGCAGACGGACTGAGAAACAATTTAAATACGAGTAACATGGACATTAACATGAAGTTGCGGATATCGGATCGGTTTACATCGAGAGCGAGCCGCGGCACCGGCTGCGATCGTATCGCCGCCATGAAACATGTGTACACCGACGGTTGCATCAGTTTATAATTTCCAATGATGCGGATGAACATCCATGAGGAGTCAGCGCTGTCATCATATTGTTTCTACATGGGTGGTTAACATGTATGATTTTAGGCGAAATAAAGATATATATTTTCTATTATCTAGTGCTATTGCTATTCTAGTAATAAGTATTTTTTTTGTACAACTTAGAATGGCAAACAAGCTGACGGCCCACCTGACGGAAAGTGGTAACCGTCGCCTATAGACACGAGCAGTACCATGGACATAACAGAGTATACTGTTTCGTTCATGATACCCCCCATGCGTTGCCGTTCCTGAGGACTCAGGTGTTATTCCTCTGTACCCTGTAAATTCACGCCATATCCATATCATATATAAGTGCAGAGAAGGGGATTTTCTCTATTTCAATTTGTTAATGCTGAAAACTGTTGCCATTAGATAGAGTTTGGAAATATTTTTTCAGCAGTTCAGTATTTTACAACTTACTGATACTTTGCAACTGTTATAGTTAATTTTAAACATTTCATAGTTTTTTTTTTTATTATTTAATTCTTTATTGTACACACCAGTTATAAGAATATGACAGAGGTAATCAAATGTACAAAGGCGAGCTTAACTCTAATAGAGTTCTCTTCCAGCAACACCCAAAGTGGAAAGGAGCATCAGTGTCAGCGAGTATTAAACTAGACAAAATTAAATTAATAACATTATATTTAATAGTATAAATACACACATACATATACATAAATATATACCTACATATATGCGAATACTTATACATACATACATAGATATGTACCTACATATATATAGATACATACATAGATAGGTAGATACCTACACTTATAAAGAGGAAAGGTTTGACTTTTGTATGTTTGTTTATTTATAATGGATACACTCAAAAACAACTTTATCATTATCATATCAACCGTTTACTGTCCACTGCATAGGCCTCCCTCTATTGGGGGGGTTTTGCTAGTACTTGTCACGCTTTGCAGGCAGATTGGCAACCGCAGTTAAGCTTTGGTGATGTTTTAAGAGTGATCATCCCTCAACCGTTAAGCTCCCTTAATCGTCTTTTACCACATTCACGGGAAAGGAATGGATGGCCTATTTTAATGACAAAAAATAATTAACAGATTTTAAAAATTCTTTTATTTATGCTACATGATCAGCTGGTAACAAAGACTATCTATTATTTCTTTCTACCCACGCAAAGTCGTGTTACTAATACATTTTAGAAAAATTTCAGAACATATTTAAAGTATCAGGTAGATAGATAGATAGATAGATACTCTTTATTGTTTCTTCCAAAAGATTACAATAGTAAACTTACTATAAATATAAACAATTACAAGAAATAATCACAATGAGAAAACAATGGGCGACCTTGTCGCTAAGAGCGATCTCTTCCAGGCAACCTTTGGATGGAGAGGAGTAATTATAAACAATTTGGTGGGAGGCACTTGATTGAAACATTATTTTAAAGCATATTACCTTACCTTTGCAGCTGCCTTCGAAAACAAGAAATCAATTGAGCACCTCCAAAGTTGCAAGTGTTTATCGGTCACATTAACCACTTCCCATCAGGTGGACCGTCAGATCGTTTGACTTGTTACCATTAAAAAAAAAAGTACCACAAAATACGCCTTTTGTACGAACAGAGCAATGAGCACGCCTTCTAATTTTAATCTCTCCGGTGCGAGCAAACAAGAGACGTTATTTATAATAACAGTGACATGTATTCAATGCTCGTGCGCAGAACACATTCAGAGATTAATCTGAAGATTATGGCTTTCACGGGTACCGTGGGCTGCGCCGTATATCACCATCTCGCTGGTGTTTGTGTGCGGAGTACAACAGCTCGTAAAGATTCGGAGCGTTCATTAGTCGCTCGTGACTACTCGTCAGAGTACAAGCGCGAGATAAGCGGCCGCGGCACGGGCTGAATACTGATGACGGTGATGCTGCGTCTACTTACGGACCGGTACAGGACAGGTCTCATTTTTATAGATAAAAATAAACCCCGCCCGCGCTATCGAGGACGAAGCCAAATCCGTTAACCTTCCACTATTTGTTACTAATTGTCGATGATCCCAGGCTCATAAGCGATATCGAACCCTTAAGTCTTAGGAGAGATTTTGCCTCACTCTGCGTGTTCTACCGCCTGTACAATGGATTGTGCTCAGAGGAATTGTTCAATATGATTCCCACAGTCACCTTCTTCCATCAAACGGCTTGCCATCGACAGGGAGTTCATCCTCATTTTCTACAGCCTCAATGGTCGCGTACTGCGCGGTTTCAGAGCTGTTTCCTTCCACGAACACTCAGGTTGTGGAATGAGCTCCCTGCCGAGGTTTTCCCAAGAGACTACAACATGGGGTTCTTCAAAAGGGGGGTAAAGAGGTTTCTTCAGGGTCGGCAACGTACGCGTAATACCTCTGGTATTGCAGGTATACATAGGCTACGGTAACCACTTGCCATCAGGTGGGCCGTATGCTTGTTTGCCACCTCAGTGGTATAAAAAAAAACAATTTGGAGCTGGTTTTGAGAATGTTGAAAATAGACCAATTAGATCCCATTACTAACAAATCCTTTAGTTCCTAGAATAATGTTGTAAAGCGAAGTCAAGTCCAAAAGGGTTATTAATGGGTGAAAATGATGGTAACTCGGCCTGTGCTATTGGTTAAAACTAGTGGGTTAACAATAAGAGATAATAGGCGAGTATGAATTCAGGTCATCGTGAAATTGTCTCATTTACATGGTTACATTAATTCTGGGACTAACGACTTAGTTTATAGGGGTTAACTAAAAACTTTTAAGGCGAGACCGCGTGGAAATCGGCATATCATTTATATAGGCAAAACCCTCAAGGAGTCTAAAATATTGGCTTGATATTTCATAATATTAGGGACCTAAAAGGATTTATAATCCATTCACAATTCATATTCCAATGAAAGTTTAATATAAGATGCACTTTGTTCATTACGAATCGCTGTGCCAATTGCCATCTTTAGAAGAAAATAGTTTTAATTGCTTACATTAAACGGAATGTTTTATAATGTGTCGAAAGTAGAATGATTATATTTATAACCTGTTATCGTACTGAAAACAATACCTTCATTTAAATACAGTAATCATGACAATAATAAGCAGTTTTAGGCTCTTTTGTGCCATCCTATGTCTTAACAAGGCGTTTTCAATTCTGTAGACATTTTTAATGACATTGATAAACTACGAATGCAATATCAATGCAATGTAAGAGTATACAAAGAGAGAGCTGCACTGATTATTTTTACTGCATTCCTTTGTAGCGAACCACGCAGCATCCTGGCTATTCGCTGGGAAACGCCGTGGCCGTCTCCTGTCTAACTGTTCCTTCCCGTTACTTATGTGATTGGACGCCAATAAAACAAAAGCTATCACATGCCCACACCGCCGGCATTGGAATGTCGCTGACATAAACTTACAATAATCTGCTACCATTTCACAACTATAAGTCATCCGCTGGTCTCGGTATATCGCCGTTTAATTTTTTTCCACTAGTTCTTCAATGAAATCGTCAAGCGATACCTGCTTCCGATGGAATCCTGTGCATTCGTCTACGTTTTATGTATCGATATTGATCACATCTCGAGAATTCCGATTGTGGCAATTATTCAGCAATCTTCGCGTGTCGGTGTCAATTTCTGAAGATAATTATTCGGTGTATCGATGCATATAATTGTTCCATTTAAGTGTTCGTGTGCGGTGCGCGGGCGCAGCGAAATAAAGTTAAAGAAACACAAATTGGCGTCGGAGAATGTCACACGTTGTTGTAAGACGTTGCCGCGCCATGTTTAATACAGATGCTGTTAATATTGTTAAGTATATAAGAAGTTGTAGATTGTTATATTATTTTACTATTTAGTTGCAATTCTACGAATGTATATAATAATTTCTATGGAATTCAAGTGTTGTACTTTGTTGTTTATTTTTGTTGAAAAACTTTACGCCATGAACAAGCTGGCATTTCCGTCGGTTCGTGTTATTAAGTGCTTATATGATTGGTTTAAACTACTTGTTGGCCTCGGATCTATTTATCTTTTACCTCGGATCTATTTTTCTCAGAATATTGATACTCACACTTATTTCTTAGGCATATAATTAAAATGATACAAAATTTATAAACGCACAAAATTTTTTTTATACAACTTAGAATGGCAAACAAGCTGACGGTCCACCTGATGGAAAGTGGTAACCGTCGCCTATAGACATGAGCAGTACCGTGGACATAACAGAGTATACCAAATATTTACTTACCACAGTTTAAAATAGTCTTTGCTTTTATTATAGTTTTAAAATATTATAGTTGTAATTTTATTTAAAAAAATATCGTGTATATATAGATAAAAATAACACATTAAATATAAGATATTAATGTCTTCATTTCAGCTTCTTTTCCTTTTTATTTTTAATTTTTGAAATAATTTGAAAATAAATAATAATAATCTTTGAGTGGCTTACGTGTTGTGTCTTTATATAATAGATTTCAATATGTTTTAATATTTGAATGAATGAATGAATGAATGAATGATTGAATGAATGAATGAATGAATGAATGAATGAACGAATGAATGAGTATGAATGAGTATACTTTATTTGCATTATACAATATAGGAAATAAACAAGACAATTTACAAACACAACGATACAATTGTATAAGTACAGTAAGGCGGTCTTATTGCTGAGAGCAATCTTTTCAAGACAACCTTAAGGTAATGGACTAATTGTTGTACAAGTAGGTATAATAGTGCTTTATAATTAAAAAAACAATTTTTGGCAAATTAAAAATATATAAAAATTATATATATATTTGAATTTGGTTAAGTTGGTTCTGATTTAATTAGGATGGTTTTTATCACACTAAACTTATTCAGAACTGTTTAAAGATTTTATTATTTACTAACGACTCGCCCCGGCTTCGCATGGGTAGTGGAGCTTTGTGTTTACATTTTTTGCATCAGTTTATTGCATTGAGAATTGTATACCAGTATAGTTATGCCATTATGGACTTTTTTGTATATCTATAAAAGAGAAACAGTCCCTCTCTACAGTATTATGGTTCGGCTACGATAATACGGCACGATTTTTTCCGTCATCTTCTACAATCAACATCATCATCATCATATCAGGCTTTAATTATCTACTGCTGAACATAAACCTCCCCTTCAGGGGATTTTGTCAGTAGTTGCCAGGTTTGGCAAGCGGATTGGTAACCGCAGTTAGGCTTTTTAAGAGGGACGCTGCTGCTCATTCCTTGCTCTCCCTTTGTCAAATCCTACGATGTCCACGGGAAAGGAAGGTGTGGCCTATTCTATGCCGGGACCATACGGAACGAATCATTATTATATTTCAACCAATTTACACAAAACCTTTAACGAATTACACCTACACCTTCCTTAGAATCATTCTATTGATAAATTAAAATCGCATGAAAGTCTGTTCAATAGTTTTTGAGGTCATTACGAAGATATAGACAGACACGCGGAGCGGTACTTTGTAGTGATCATACTCCGTAATTGATAATTGTTTCTCCATATAAAAATCTATTTCAATGAAAACCAATCAATCAATTAGCTTAAACAATATTCCACGGAATCCAATCACCTCACTATATTAACTAACGCGTGTCCGCGCTTAATCTATGCGATGCAATTTTTATAAAGCCGGCCTTTTTGATTGCCATAAACAGTAAAATAATGTTGCTTTGTTCGTAATCAATACTCGTTGAGCGAATCGCGTTCTCGAGTTTGGTTTTTTGCCCACAACTATTATTCATTAAAAACGTAACCAGTGTTGGTTTCTTTGACTGATTAAATTATAAGTTAATTCCTATATAATTCGATTGATCTGTTTTACGAATGGAAAATGAAGGCTAGGATAAAAATGATCCGTTTGTCGGTAGAGGTAATAATTTTGCGTGTACGTTGGCATCTGAAGCGACTCTAATCACTGGATGGCACGCTAACAATACGTAATGTTAACTACCAGATAATGAGGGATGGTATGCAGTATACGAGTTCGAATCCCATTTCAAACTACATTTAATACAAACTATATTTAATTTTATAAATACATGTTTGCAATTAACAATACTGTTCTTGTTTTACGTATAGAGCATATATGAAGTCAACGAACATAAGATAGTCTGCAGTAGTGCAATACTGTAAATAGAAAAATCTGACGATTGATTTCGGTTTGAAGGGTGGGATATGGCGTGAATTTACAGGGTACAGAGGAATAACACCTGAGTCCTCAGGAATGGCAACGCATGGGGGGTATCATGCGCGAAACAGTATACTCTGTCCATGGTATTGCTCATGTCTATAGGCGACGGTTACCACTTTCCATCAGGTGGGCCGTCAGCTTGTTTGCCATTCTAAGTGGTATAAAAAAAAACGTTTAAATCTAATTTGATTTATTTGTGAAAATTTCAACAAAACTTTATTATAGTAATCAATTCGTTAAGATCAATTCAAAAAGACTACAGTATTATTTGTGGTCGGCAATATTTATTTATTTATTTTCTAAACATTTATTTATTTATTGATTTGACAATTAATTAATTGTGAATTTTTATTGATTTATTAAAATATGAAAGTAATATTTCTTGGCTACGGCACGGCATAGATGGTGTAATTTCATACAATGTTTCATCTGAATTTTGTTTTATTAATAAATATAGCTTAATAATATCCTATGTGTGTCCCGGCATAGAATGGGCCAACTCTTCCTTCACCGTGAGTATTGTAAGAGACGACTAAGAGAATTTATAGTCGAGAGATGGGCAGCAGCTCCTTCTTAAATCATCTCCAAAGCCTAACTTCGGTTACTAATCCGCCTGCTAAGTGTGAAAACTATTGGCAGAGCCCTCTCAATGGGAAACATTAAAAAGGATCAGCATATAAAAGTTGACATTTTCCGGATTTTTTTTTTGACATTTGTTGTAAGATCTGAAACTTAAGCATGATATTTGAATATTTATTGAAGAAACTGTTTGAAAACTATCCATTTAGTTACCAAAGCTCTTGTGTTTCGTGAGTTACCTAACGTAACTCACGGCGCGCAAACAGTGCGCGGCCGGACAGAGGGATATTTAGTACTTTTTGCGAAGAGTTAGCACTTTGTAATATAACGAGTTGCAACAGAATGGTCGCAGATGTCAATTATTGCTTGTATGTATTCGCAGGGTTGGTTGTTAGCACCTCTAAATATAAAATATTATATGGAGGAATCAGGAATAGTGATCATTAATATCTACTAGCTTCATTTGAAGATAGAGTGGATAGAAAGGAATTAGGTATAGTACATAAATTGAGCGTTCAATAATTATGTATGTAACTGACTAAAATGTTTTATTTTGATTTCTTGTTAGTGTTATGGTCACGGGAATGTCAGTGCACACTAATATTTTTTATAATAACTTATAAAAAAAAATATATAATTATTTATAATATTAAAAAAATAGTAACCATAATGTTACTGTATATTATGATAATTTAAAATTAAAATTATATTTCACAAAAAAACCGACATCAATTGTGACAAAACTAGCTATTTTGATTTAAAACTAAAGTACTCAAAAGATTTTAATAAAGTTTCTATGGGCCCAATCTGTAAGTAAAATATATTCTTACAGATAAAAAAATATTTTCCAAATTGGTTTGCAAATATTTTCCAAATATCTATCAGTTACAGATATAAAGTAACAAATATAAAAAAAAATGCAACCTTTCTTTTCATCTTTATGAAATCGGTTAAAAATGTTAAATAAACTAACAGCCCACCTGATGGAAAGTGGTAACCGTCGCCCAGACATTTTAATGCGCATCTTTTATCCCTTCCCATTCATGAGGACTGTGGTGTTACATCTTCGTATCAAGTAATTTCATTGTCATATCCCATACTTTAGAATATAGCCACATAATGTAAGCACAGCAGTTTCATAATAGAAACGCTAGTAGGAGAGAGATGCTCAAGTACACGACTTATGCATGAAGTCTCAATCTTTTAAAAGTTTTTGGTAAGTACACGGTATTGCTCGTTTCTGTAGGTGTATGTTGAAGTTGGCCATCAGATCGTTTACCACTGCCAATAGTGGGTTCTTGGGTTCTTGGGTTCTTGGATTCGATTGACAACCCTGCCGAGCAAACATGGAGGGCACGCGACGCGCAAACACTTGTAAATTACATACCAAACACACTGTTAACATAATCAATAGCCACATTATCGTAGACATTTACTCATGCCCTTAGGCTGGTCACTTTTAATATTTTTTATACCTTTATGTGTTTTAAAAGATTAAATACAGTTGAATGAACTAATTCTTTAAGTTTGCGTAAAGGAAATTTTACCTAATGTAGACTTTTTTCAAGGACTTCAAATGCATTGCCAGGAGGCAATAGATGCAAGTGGCTCAGGATAGATCTTTATGTCAGTCTGTGTGGGAGGCCTATGTTCAGCAGTGGACAGTTAAATTCTGATGTGAAGATGATGAAACTTTTTAATTTGAGTTAATTGATGACTTTTATTTAAACGAGATTGACATTCAGCGTACGGCTCGTCTGATGGTTATGCTGGCACAGCTAAGAAAGGCTTGAAATATCGTATGTTTATGGTACATATTCATAGAATAGAATAGAATAGAATAGAAATCATTTATTCAAATAAACTTACATTGAAGCACTTTTGAATAGTCATTACATTTTTTTTGTTAATCTACCGCTCGTTCGGAAAGCTGTCTCATCACAAGAAGAACGAGCAAGAAACTTGCGTGTTGCTCTTTTAAATAATTTTATTATTACTTTACATAAATCTTGTGAAAAGAAGAAAATGATTGAGTTACAATATACAGAATACATTAGCATTTGGGGATTTTCTGTAAATGAAGCTGTTTCCTCTAAAGGAATTGAAAAATGATAAAAAAATCCTAACTTTTACACCCACTCATTAAAATCACGCCGCGTTCAGCTAAGTTGGTATTTGGGATTAAATTATATGTCGTTTTCCGACCCATGTCTATACAGGAAAAATGTTGAATTTTACTGACAGATTACTCCCATAAAACGACTTCGAATTCACCCTGTAACACGTAATTCATTATTTATTTATTCATTAGTACAAATATGTGTATATGGCGGACTTAATGCTAAAAGCATTCTCTCCCAGTCAACCATAGGGAAGTGTCAGAATACTCGAATGCGGTACTACTAATTATTGATATACATACATACTAAAATTACATATATAAACGAATAAATATATATAAATAACAAATATACTTACACATATATGACATATATGACTATATTATGCACGAAATTGAAAATAATATTAAGCACTTACTGTTCGGATAAAGTAAAAAAGTGAGCGTGAATGTTTTTATTTTGAAAGATGGTTTAGTCGGTAGTCTCTTAAGTTCCTACTTTTGCTCCTGGTTACTTTATGGACTCAAATCCCTATATATTACATGCAGATGTAACAACTTACGACCCAACTAAATTATGTGGAAGGCTCTCACCTTTAACATAATTTAGTTGGGCGTGCTAAACCCGAACGGAATAAACTCAGCACAATATTAGACACGGCGGCGACGGGTCGTCACTTCGTTACTGTGAACATGTAAAGCACAATTTACAGCTCCCGTTAGACGCGACACGGGCACGACGGCGATCGACAACGGCGCAGTCCCGTCGGCAGCGCACGACACGCCGTAAAACAAGTAGATGAGGTGCAATTGGAAAACACTGGGTTGTATTGTGAACGTGGAACGCTGATAATCTACCTGATGGCAATTGGCAATCGTCGCCTATAGTTATGAACAGAACGGCGTGAAAAAGTTAGTACGATTATCTTATTTTTTTAACTTAACCTTGTGTATTTTTCTGAGTTATATTTTTCATCAAAACTATGTACAAATAAATAAAATTAAAATTGTCTATGTTAAATCATTTTAATTTAATTAGTCGCTTAATGATTGATTAGTGTCAATACATAGACACGTTGCGGTTAGGGCTCGTATAAGAAAGAAGACGCTGGAGGTCACCGTTTCATTCTATTCCAGGATTCGGCAGCGATAATGAATTGTTTGTTATTTATCTAGGGCATTCTCTTGAAAAATAACTAACGAATCATTAATTATAAATGCTGTATCTTTTTTTTTTTATATACAACTTAGAATAGCAAACAAGCTGACGGCCCACCTGATGGAAAGTGGTAACCGTCGCCTATAGACATGAGCAATACCATGGACATAACAGAGTATACTGTTTCGCCCGTGATACCCCCCATGCGTTGCCATTCCTGAGGACTCAGGTGTTATTCCTCTGTACCCAGTAAATTCACACTATATCCCACCCTTCAAACCGAAACACAGCCATGCAAACACAACTGCTTCACGGTTGAAACACGAATGGGACAGAGGTAGCCAAGCAATCGACTTTTGTACAAAGTCTTCCTCTGGTAATCAATAATCTACGTGTATCTTAGTTCATGAAAATAAACGATTTATTACACATTAGAGGCGCGTATCTTCGCATAAACATTGTGTACGCGCGTTACAATAAAGCGGGCAATTGACGCGTTCGCGCGACACCAACGACACCTGCGACAACTGATTGCGTAGGCGACCGTTAGCACGATTTACGGCGATCGATAGCGCGCATAACTAGGGGTGCACCAAATACGGGCCGTAACACGTTGTACGGGGAGATGGATGGAGCAGGACCGCTGTCAATTTATGATGTGCCTGTCGCCAGTGATTGCCATTCGATAGACGCTGATGTTTCGTTAGTGTCAGGATATTTGTAGGACATGGTGGACAAACACTATGTTTAGATTATTCTGTTTTAAGTTTATCGACATATATTATTATTGTTTTGTTTTCTTGTAGTTATAAAGCATAAAACTATACAAGTGACAAATATTATGTTCCAATACAGTATTGATCCTACATGTAAAAGAATATTATAAATAGTGTCATACAAACACATAACTGTAGTAAAGAGTGTCTTTTAATTTTCAAATTCAATTTCATTCGAATACTTTTTTTTTATGCAACTTAGAATGGCAAACAAGCTGACGGCCCACCTGATGGAAAGTGGTAACCGTCGCCTATAGACATGAGCAGTACTATGGACGTAACAGAGTATACTGTATTGCCCATGATACCCCCTATGCTTTGCCATTTCTGACGACTCGGATGTTATTCCTCTGTACCTTGTAAATTCACTGCCATATCCCACCCTTCAAACCGAAACACAGTCATGCAAACACGACTGCTTTACGGTAGAAAAACGAATAGGACAGAGGTACCTAAGCAAACGACTTTTGTACAAAGTCTTCCTCTGGTGAAACGACTTCTAGTCACGCGTGATTAACAAATATTCGAAATTTGGCATAATATTTTACCCCCGGAGAAGTAATTTTCAATCAATCAACCATTTATTTGCATAAACATAGGTACAGTTATAAATTTGATGTTGTAAAAAGTGCAGAGCGCTATGTTTTTTTTACAACACAGGGGGCAAACGAGCATGCGGCTCACCTGATGGTAAGTGACTACCGCCGCCCATGATCACTCACAACACCAGCGGCATTGCAGGTGTGCTGCCGGCCTTTTAAAAAGGAATATACTCATTTCTTGAAGGTTATGTTGTCGTATCGGTTCGGAAAAACTGCTGCTGGAAGTTGATTCCAAAGAGTGGTTGTGCGTGGAAGAAAGGGCCTTGAAAACGCACGATATGTTTTACCGTCATTGGGCACGCAAATAATATTATTACATAATGTCCCTTGAATTATAATTTTTAATAATAACAATTAAAATAATAAATAGTTTATGTTAAATTAATTCACTACAATTAATCATAAAAACTTCAATATAATCAACAAAATACCAAATAATCTATACAATATTTATAATTTTCTTTTTCTACATTATAATTATCGGTTACTAGCGGGCCGTCCTGGCTTCGCACGGGTTGACATTTTTGCAACATAAAAAAAAGGGGTTATTGTGCCATAACGATAATAGTTGGACATATAGTATCGCAAAGTTTTTTGTAGTTATTGATATTTTCTTCAATTCAATTAAATTGAATTTATTTATTGCATTCTACAATATTATTATATTGTAGAACATACTTTTGTTCTATCACCAATAGTTTCCGCAGCGCACGCGACGAAATATATTTTATAGCATTTTTTACACCTTGAGTTACGTTACTAAAGTTTTAGTAAGGATCCATAATCTTTTCTAGCAATAAATATAGCCTATATTACTCAGGGTGAATGTAGCTCTCTAATGGTGAAAGAATTTTTGAAATCGGCAAAGTAGTTTTTGAGTTTATTCATTACAAACATACATACACACAAAAATACAAATCTTTCCTCTTTATAATATTAGTGTAGATGTAGACGTATTCGTTAATGGTGCAATAGGCTTTATGCAATAACATTCTTTTTATTTTTTTTTCTTTTTTGAATATATCTATATGGTCTATGGTATATCCTTTATACATTGTGGCAATTTGTTGTACATTTTTAAACCCATACAGAATATACTATTATTGTGTAGGGTAGTTTTAAATTTTGCTATTTTAATAGTAATGCAATGTCTTCTGCTTTGTAGCGTTTCGTAATTTGAAATGTTAGTTTTTATTAGTATCGCTGCTTTGTAAATATATAGCAAAGGGAATGTAAATATTTTAAGGTCTCTAAAATAAATTTGTTTTATGGATGAAAATGGCATAGTGACAATGAATGCAGATCAGTTAGCCCAGCATGGTGAATTCGACAAGAATTAACCATGATGGTTTCCAGGAGGAGCTGCGTGGAAATCGACTTGAGAGAGTATATTGCTAGTAATGGAGTTATTAGGACCTCATTACTAGCAATCTCTTTCCCCCCTGTAAAGTCAGGTTAGTTAGCCCCTTATCACGAATTTAATGATAAATTAGTCACGATAATTTCCAGGGGGAACCGCGTGGAAGTCGAATTAAAAGGGTATATATGTATACTGCTAGCAATAGGGGCTAACCTCTCTTTATTATTAACAACACGTATAAGATCCGATACACTTTTTTTATATAAATTAAACATGTATACAATTAATCCTTTATATTAGTCCTTGGTGAAGTCCGATACTTCTATCGTGAAGCAGTTGTGTTTGCATGGCTGTTTTTCGGTTTGAAGGATGGTATATGGCGTGAATTATATGTACAGAGGAATAACACCTGAGTCCTCAGGAATGACAACGCATGGGGGTTGTCATGGGCGAAACAGTATACTCTGTTATGTCCATGGTATTGCTTATGTCTATAGGCAACGGTTACCATTTTCTATCAGGTGCACCGTCAGCTTGTTTGCCATTCTAAGTTCTATAAAAAAAAATACAATTTTGGTGTGAAGCGTGTCGTGTGAATCACTGACCATATCAGAATCAGTAGTTAATATATTCATTGTAGTGGTACAATAAACAAGTGGCGCGTCGCCTCTCACAGTACGTTGACATGTGACCTACGGCAACACATTGTTCGTAAATCATCCTTTATTAATATGTAAAAACGAATGGAATCTATGTAAACAGAACACGGATTGTTGTCATGAATAATATTTAAAATATATGTGTTGTCATTATGGATATTTGGTTGTGATAACATAACGGCTTTATCAAATTTTAATTTTGGATTAGCATAAGATTGTATTAATCCATTGACGATAGTTTCCCATTACCCACCGCTGGGCAAACATTTTTTTGTGACTACTGTATTGTGCATTTTGTTACTTTTTTATATTACTATAGTGGCAAACAAGTATTTATACCATCTGATGATAAATGGTTAATGTAGCCTATGGACGGCAGTAATACCAGGAATATCATGCGTTATATTATTACGCCCTTTTTAAAGAACCTCATGCTCCCGTACTTATAGCCTCTAGGAAAAACCTCGCCATCATTTCATAGCCTGAGCTTTTGCGGGAGGACGCTCATCTGATGAATTTCCCGCCGATGGTGAGCGGGGCGATAGCAAAAGTGTTTAGAAAATATTATTTCAAATGTATCGAGCTATATCTCATGGTATGCTTGTTTAAGTTGGAATAAAAAGTAACTTATGTACGAATTCAGGATAGTGTTCCGTTTATTATAGTCACAGTATTTGGCAATGAGAAGGATATAGCCTACTTCTAACAAGCTCTACATTCATTATTATTTATTTTTTAAAAGATTGAAAACTTAAATCAATAATAAACTATCTATATAAGTACATATCCCAATTGATTACTCAATTTGGCGAGCAATTACTATGCTCTATTGTGTATCCATTTCATACCCCATTATCTCAAACGTATTTGACATTTACGTCCAGGGCCTATTTATTAAACAATCCGGCGATATAAATCTATATTATCTCCCGACTACAGCGCTCTACAAGGCGTAACGGCTGACATAAACGTTTACATTCTAGCGGGCAGCGTTCCCATAGCGAGCGTCTATAGATCAGTGATCGAGTATCGCGAGATGGCGCGATATTCCGCCGTGTCGGGCGATAGTATCGCAACATCGCACAATGCGCGATTTGGAAGGGTAAACAGGCGTAGTCGTGCACTGAGAGCCGAGAGTGTACATTGCAGATTTGTTGGCGGTGACAACTGGATATTTAACGCGTATCTAGCGGTGTATATTTACATACGACATCTCGACGATATCTGGACTTATAAATAAAACAGTAGTTCATTCCGTTTAGAATTAATGTGCCCTTTAAGTGTAGTTGTGTCGGGTTGTGAACGAATCAGAAATCCTTATATTCGTTTACACTTACTTTACACTTTATTTTTTATGCTGG